CCCAATTTCTAGACAACCTTATGCTTTGGCTGCAAAATCAACTCATAACTCAAAAAGCAACCGCCATCGGGCAGACAGTTTTCAAGTCAAACAGCATATGTGCTTAATTGAATGCTTACAAAATTACCTTTTGTTTTATACAAATGTCCTGCCAACAAAAGAACAAACCAGGGATGTCTAATGGATTTAGCAATATGGCACTATTTATGTTGTGATCACGGAAGACGGGATACTCAAATACAATACAATTATTTTCCAAGTAACGTTTTATGATAATGTGGTTTACAAACTGTTACACCCACTCATCTTTTGAGGTAGAATCTTATTTTTTTTTTCCTTAAAAGGAATGCCATGCCATGCCATTGAGATGTAAAGACTCGAAAAGTAAATTTGGTGGCCTCGTTTACATACAGAATGCTATTAGTCATAAATAAATAAACAAACTTAAAATGGAATTGTTTGATTAACCAGTGAAATTATATACACACATTCTGGAAAATCTGATTAAGTTTAGTTTATGGTTGGTTTCTAACTAAGCAGGCACAGATCTCTGTATGAATAACATTTTAATGTAGATCATAACTGTTGTGCCAGTTAGTCTACATCCATTTTGGAGTTGATGGAAAGAAAAGTGGTGCAGCTTCTGAACCTCTGCTGCTTTCATCAAAATTGTTATAAGCTAGGAAGCCGAGTGAGTCACTAACTAGAAGCAACAGCAAATCCAACTATAAACCATGTGTGCCTTATACCTACAAATTAAGTGAACTGACAAAACAGCTTTCATAACAGTATTTTCAATGACAGTAAACTTGGATGCAACAATCAAAATAGTGGCTGAACATGCATTAAAGGGACAACATACAGCTGTCACCATTAGTAGAGTGCTCCGAGACACCTTTTTTCCTTCTTCTTGCATGTATCCTGGAGTACATAAAGTTCCTTGCTAATTTATGTCATGGATTGGTCTTCAAATGATGTATCATTTTCCTTTTCTGGAAAACTGCCTTAGTCTCAAATAAGCCAGGAGCTGAATTTGGAGGAGCCAACGTCTCACATGCATTTATAGTGAGGCAGTCACTAAGCAGTAAAGCAAAATATTCTGCACTTAAAAGGCAAGACATCTCAGGTGATTTCTAGCTGGCCTTGCAAGACATTCAAATGGAAATAACACCTGCTGGAACACCCCATTTTAAAGCCAGTTGTACTCTGGGACTGCTGCTAGGAACATGCATGTATCCCCTTGTCTCGTGTTTTTTCTTCAGGACCGTTGTCTAACATAACACCCATACTGATAAGCTCTAGACCCAATGAATCATCAATGAAAAACGCTTTATGTGACAGCTAGTAAGTTTGTCTAACTGACTGATCCTACTACACCATAAATTATCTTCCATCTTTAACAATTCTGTTCAAGAGTCAGTCAGTGTGTATGCACCCCAGTGTCTTCTCAACGTGCATTAATCTACAAAGACTTTTCCTTCCAGCCATTTTCCATTCCCGTACATCCTCTGCAACACCTCTTACGCACGTAACCTCACATAATTAACTCACTGACAGCCCCCATCCTCCAAAACAGTTTCATACTGTAAGAAATCCTCCAGACAACCTCTTTACCTGGGGCAGGCATCCTCAGAAGCACCAAATCAGGCATTATTATGAGGACTGGACTATTATTTCAGGTGATGATGGGTTATTCGAAGCACAACCTTGGTCTGCTTGCCAGGTAAATGCTGATGCAATGAATAGGCACTTCTTGGTTCTTGAGCTGGGCAGGTCCCTCTCCATCCCTAGATGACTTTCCTGAGTAGTGAAAGCAAAGAGAATTCCTGGTTTCCTCCCAGGATCTTGGGAGCCAGTAATTAGGACACAAGTAGGACACAGCAGTTTAAAAAAAAAAAAAAAAAATCCCAAACAGTGCAACATAACTTTCTTTTCCTCATCATCTTATTGCAGCAGAGTATTGCCTGTTTCCCTCTCTACCCCACTACGTACGACAAGGCTGGAGCGCACACAGAGACGGACATCCCAATGCTCCGCTCTCATGCTCTCAGTAATGGAGTGTGCATTGAGTCAGCTGAGACTGGTAACACGCAGAGCCAAATTTTGTGTGGTGGGACAAATAAGAGACTTTCTGCTTTTTAAACCTGAAGTACAATCAGTTTCCTCAAGAACACTGTAGTACTCTGGATAAGTTGAGGAACAAATCTGGGCAACAAGCAACTTAAATGCTCCAATTTTGTAGAAAAAAACCACAGTGTCTTTAGCCAACTATTAAGAATTCATTAAATTAAATCAATTAAATTAAATTTTTAGACTAAACACAAGAAAAAAATTTTTCACTATGAGAGTGGTGAAACACTGGAACAGGTTGCCCAGAGAGGTGGTGGATGCCCCATCCCTGGAAACATTCAAGGCCAGGCTGGATGGGGTTCTGAGCAACCTGATATGGTTGAAGATGTCTCTGCCAATTGCAGGGGGGATGGACTAGGTGACCTTTAAAGGTCCCTTCCATCCCAAAGCATTCTATGATTCCATGAAATTCTTACATGAATGCACACGCAAATGCAGAAAACCCCAAAGCCTGGGAACGAGCACAGGATGAAGCAGTGCCTCAGATACGTTCTTCAGAGGAGTGCTCTAGCACCTGCGCACATCCTGCAAAGAGAGGCCTTATCTGTCTCCTCAATGTGTTAGCAGTCAACTCCCCTACATGCAACACTACATGAAATATAGTTCCTTAGTTGGCATTTTCTCAAAGAAAAAGGTAGGACTTGAACTTCAGTTTGAGATGCTGGTAAACATTGGTATAAACAATTGAAAAAAAAAAAAAAAGATGGAATATTTTCTGTTCATAACTTTTATTATAAACACATAGATTAAATATTAACATAGGTAAAAGGAGACATTATTAGTTAGGCCTTTAAAAGGCTACATGTCCTAAAACAGCCCAAAAAGTCCATTTTACACAGTATCCACTGAGTTGGCAATCTCTGTAGAACCACTTCCGTGGTAATCGAAGCCTCCAAAACACTGCGATATTCCCTGTCCTCTCTTTCAAATAGAGCAGCATTCTGCTTAAGGAAACAGTTAGTTTGCACTTTTGTTTACTGCAGGTCAGCCACACTGAATAAAAAAGATCCATGTATTCAAGTAAAGATACTCCAAGAATATCAGCTCGGTCCCGTTCCTTTTTTCGTTTACCCAACCGGCCAGGCTCATCCCAAGTGTTGTAACTGGCTGGAAGTTAACGCTGTCAGTCAAGATCCTCTGGCCTCCTACTAGGAGCTTTGCAAAGAGCGTCAGTAAGAGCTAGAACTCATGTTTGTTCTCTGAGTAACATGCAAAAAATTTTCAGTTCATTTATAAAAACTGGTCAAAAAGCAGAATGTGCAAGAGCCTGGGAAAATCCTTCTGTTTGCCCATTTTAAAAATTAATTTCAACAACAAAAATCTGGATAAGCTGACGTTTTAAAAGCTTCAATTATCAGCAAATAAAAAAAAAAATAAATCTAAGAGATGCCATTTTTTCTTGACCCTTACTCAAAGTCAAAAAGGTTAAAATAAAGATGCTCCAAGCTCTATGCTTAAATACAACGTGCTTTCCTGTTACAGTGTTTTCTCTGCTCCCCACTGTTCCTTTGCTTTCCATCAGCGAGTGCTCTCACTGCCACTCTAGTTCACGTCAGATGTTTGAATGGGATCCAAGTTATAAAAAAAGATACAATTATTCAGTGCCAATACGATCATACGTATTTGTACAGTCCAGACAGCCAACAGTAAATGTGTAAGCAGTGGCTTTAATGGAATATATGTATTTTTAAAATCCAGTACTTAAAGTAGTGCAGAGAGGTCTGCGCTTTTAGATGTATATATTATCAATTATATACATGGCATTTTCCTGCCTTAAAAATAACTATGAACAAACCCCTGAAAATATGGGGACTAATAGAAAAAATAATCTTAGGATTTTGTAGGAAAAATATAATTTGCAATAAAAATATGGTAATTTCTTCTTGCTAGAAACAAGTAACAAAAAATATACTCCCACATGCAATTTTTCAGCATCCTAGGAATGTAACAAATACTTCTGCAGTAGTAACCCATCTTTTAAAAAAAAGTCTGAGTCCCTTACTCTGCTGCATTTTAATTAATATCAAAAACCACTTATGTCAGTAAATATTTGCTTACTCCTTTGTACATGTTAGTCTGGCTTTTAGCAACGTAAGTAAATGCTAGAACATTGTTGATTAGATAAGAAGTCGTTTATGTATAAGAATTCTATATAAGAAAGTAATTTATCAAAAAATATTGGCCCTGATCCTAGGCAGGGCCGTTGCCTCTTTGTATTATTCCATTGATTCCCACCAGAATTCATCCAAACAGAGCAAGTCTGGAGGGCCCCACTTCCAGAGATCACAGTTAGTCAGAGAAACTCTTCTCTTTCAATCTCTCTGTTTTGAGAGAAGGATGGGGGAAACCCCAAGCTACAGGCATGTCAGGGTATTGAACAACCCTTCATCAAAGGTGGAGATTAGAAAAGCCTTTGGGTACTGCCTTATTGCATAGTTCCCTTTAAGCCTCCTCCTACAGCCACAGCTTTCCTGCTTGCTGAGGCACATGTTACTCTGATCAAACGGTGTCAACATGGGTGCACCCCAGAGGCTCAGCGGTACCTGGAATCAAGCCACTGGCCAGACTGATTCCCATGGACTTTGAAGCCTGCCAAAGACAAGACTGCAGATAAGGATGATGTCAGCGACTAGTGAAGAAGATGCTGATTCGAGCTGCTTCTCTCCAAGATGGGATACCTGTGCTCACCTGGAGCCTGAAAGGGGCAAAAATATATTTTTCAAGGTGGATTTTTTAGAATCAAATAAGCACTTTTCCCAGTTCCTAAGTCTTCCTCTTAATAATATTTAGCCAGTATTTCTCTTTGTGAAACTCGGAATTTTCCCAGTTACCATGGAGTTGTGATGCAGTGGAGACCTTCTGAAGAACTTGTGTAGACAATATTTTTTTTTATATACTATTATAAACAGCATAGCAATATCTTCGTAGAAAAATCAGTCCTGAGTTTCATCTCCAGTCTTCAAGATGGACCAATGCTGTACCATTTAACAACAACTTTTTCAGGGTTAGCAATCGTATCTTTCCACTGCTCTACTGCTTCACTGTTATTGCTATCAGAACTTATCCAGATCTGCAGTAAGAAATAGAAAGAAAAATAAAATTGAGTTTACCTGATATAATACAGATGCCCAGCCTTTATTAGTTCCAAATAAATACCATAGCAGTGTAGAATGAGATACAATGTGTAGACTGCGACCAAAGCATCACAGCAACAAATATAGTTCTGTTGGGACTAACATATTTTGGCTTTCAGCTGGGAACACAGGGAGTCTGGGTTTAAATTTAGCCTCTAAATAAATAAGAGAACTCACTACATACTAATGTTTCGCTACTTAATAAGATGTTTTAAGTCAAGCATTCCTTGCATCATTCAAATGCACGTGCCGGGGTCAAGGGTTCATCAGGGCCAGTGATGGTTCTATGCATTCAAACTCCAGTTGGCTGCAAACCATCTGGCATCCTGAGCTAGCTGTCCAGCATTTTCATGAGCATTTAAAATTGCACACTCCAACAGACAGGGCCAAACCTGCATTCCACAGAGGTTACTAACATGCCCATACCACACATAGTCACGCAGTAAGAGTCCTTCTCAGTATTCAATTAATGGATAGTGGCCATTAAACGAGGAAATGAGGTACAAGTAGGAAGTTTTCCTCCTGAACATTATCACCCGCCTCTATTGCCAAAAGATTTCTGCTTATGTAAGTAGGTATCATTATTTATGGGACTCTATTTCCTCAAGTCTTCCAAGAATGAGTCCTTTTAAGACTTCTCAGAAACCTTCACGATGAAGTACATTTAGCCTACCCTGCTGAGGCATACGAGTCCTCAAGAAGTGAGAATAATGTCTTCCAGAATACCACAGACAGCTGATGTTTCATCCACAGAGATTCAATATACATCTTGCTCATGATTAAAGACATGCCTGTAAAAGCAGCCTAATCTAAGTATTGTCTGCTTAGAACAGCATCCAATTAAACATCATTCTCTGAAGAACAAAGTTAATAGATCCAGCTATATTCGTCTTTTTCCAGCTACCCAGCCAATTGCTCAAAGTACATTTTTCCCTGAGCCATATTTTATGTCTTCATGTGTTATGTGGCAATGTCTGCCTGCATGAGCTGAAACACCCTTTTCCAAATAACCTTTGAGGAGCAGAAGTAGCTCATTTCCTCCCTCAAAAGTAAGATCCATGATTAAATGAAACTCGTCAGATTGAGATGACCTCACATATTGCTAAGTGACTGCAAAATCATACCCAGTTATTTTTGCCCCAAGGTAGCACAACTAAACACAACAATTTTTTTCCTTTTCCTATTCCAACTCCAATTCCACCAACAGGAATCACAGAAAGATGGAATACGTGTGACTTGAGGCTCCATAAAATGGAGGAAGGTCACATAATTTTTGCTGGTACATCATTTCTATAGCACAACAGCATCTTCTATAACTGCACGTCTTCAGCAGGCACAGGAAACATCACCACAATGGGACAGTACCATTTTCTGTACCGAAGGATAGAGCAGTCCTTCATCTGACAAGGGACATTACAGTTGGGGTCTCAAAAATCAATTCCACGTTATTCATTTATGCATATATTATAATTCTGCTACTAACTCCAGGTGGGTCAGGGAAAGCACCAAGCATTAAGAATAGTTATGGTTCACTATACCATGAAGAAAAGGAGAGAAAGAAGGGACAGGATGATGGTAAATTACAACAACCAGGGGAAGAGGACAGAGAGAATAAAAACACACAAGACTACCAAGTTTTATGGTGGTTAAAAAAATGTGATCACACAAATGCTTTCAAAGAGGTACTACAGAAGTTCCAGCTGTAAAAAATAAAAAACCCAAAGAGAGTAAAAAGAGCACTCAACTAAAAAATAATTTTGTGTTTGTTCACCTATGTTATCACTTGATCACACATATTTAGAATATCGTGGTGATTTCGGCATTGCTTTACCCAGGAAGGCAGCCCGATATTGTAGCTGTCAGTATTTCCTTTTACACACACCTCTTTGTAAGTGTATTGGTATGGTAAGCCAACACACCCCATTTCTGTACAGTACACTTTAGGTTGTGGAGCTCCTGTGAGTGCTGTGTTTGTTTTCTTCAGAAAGCCTAGAGGCAAGGAGGAGATCATACGTCTGTCTGTAGGAAGGAATCTTTCACATAGTAATACTCCACACAAAAATGACTTAGGGACTTCTTTTTAAAAGCAAAATCATATGTCAACTCCCATTCTGATGTTAGTGCATGTTTAAGAGCCCAGTACTATTCTTTCTTGGGTTACATCCAGAAAAGTTTATTAGAATTTACTATTTTGCTATATGCCACCTTATTAAAAGTATTTTAAAACTCATACCAAGAAACCTGTGGAACTGGATTTTAAGTAAAGGATATCATGCTAGTTAGCAGAAACCAACCTGTCCTAAGAAGTGCTTTCTTCTCACTGAGCTCCTGCTGTAGAGCTTGATGAGAAAGCTAATTCCTTGTTCAGCTTGGGTAACTGGAAAAATCATCATTTCTCCCCACTTCACTTGGCCGTTAGTGGACTTCAGAAGACGAGTCTTCTTCTTATAGATCAGCCCTTCTGTACTAAACATTCCAACTTTCACAAAGAAATCTAGCACAAAAGGGAGGGAAAAAGGTGTAGCACACAAAGGGTTACTCACAAACACACCCAATAAGGAACTGACAAGATCCACATGTATGGTTCAAATGGCAACAATTTCCCAAAAGTCTGGCCAAAAGAACTGTACAATAGCTTTCCTGACTAGTCACTCAGAGTATGTTCAATAATATTGAATTGATTAACACAGTATCCAAACAGCAAGTGCAAGCTAATGCTCTTGTATGTCAGGATTAATATTGGGATAAAAATCTTCCAAAATACATAAACACATAGCTTCAAACCAAACAAAAAGTAATCAAGCAAGACATCTGTGGAAACAAGCCTTGGCAATGGAAATCTACTGCACAGTATGTTAGTCTGAGGTTTGTAAGGAATTTTATGAATTGCCAACCCATTCGAGCAGCAATTTACCTGTTACAAATGCTTTTAGACAGGAGGCATGAGACAACTGATGTAACTTACTTGAAGACAGCGGTGTAGATGAAACTGGAAGGTTTTGTGCTTCAAGAATCTGTAACTGAATCCTCCTGTTTATTGCTTGAAAACAAGTTCCTACTTGAAGTTCTGCACGGCACGCCTACAAGCAGAAGAATTTTGCCATAACATCTGGATTAAGTTGCTTATAAAACGTAGGAAACACAGGAATTCTGTCATATGTTGGGCTCCCACATTTCTATCTGGGATTTCCTGGACAGAGATATAAGCGTGTGTTGTATACACAACCTGCAGATGCACAGTAAGTGCATCTTGCACTTGTTATAGCTGCAGTACATGTGCTCCACTGATGGACTGCTTATGTGCAGCGCACATATGGCCCTCATGAGCTGCAGCCAGAGATACTGGACAAATAAACAAGTCCTCAGTTTTCACCTGGGAAAGATTCCTCAACGATAAGAGCAGACACATACAGGGAAAACCAGACAGGCAGTTGTAGCTCTACTAAACCTGGGTGTGGAAGTGAGAGACCAGGTATGCTCCACTAACACAAAAACCATGGGAGTTCTCCTCCCACACTTTTGAATTTTGCAATAGGGAGATATAAGCAATGTTTTCCATAGGTACAAGGCCCTGTCACTTAGTGTCATGAATGTTTACAGTGACTGCATGCCGTGGAGTTTCCCATGTTATGGAAGTACTTGTGTTTTACATGCCTACACATATACACCACCACCACCACCCCCGAATGAACTGAGATCTCCAGTCTGAATTTTTTTTTTAGAATTTTTGCTGGTGGCAAAGTTGCATTGACGCATCCTCATTACTCTCCTGTCAGATGCTACTGTACTCCGAACACTGTAAGAACAGCAAGCGAAAGCCAGTGGAGACCCAGCTTTCCTGACAGCCTCCATTTAAAAGGACTTTGCTAGTCCTGGTTCCCTTCAAGTTTTAATGCACTTCAGTGAAGCAAAACACACCAAGCGAGAGCGCAACAGGTCAGATAAAGAGAAGTCAGGCTCCAGTTCATCGAAGAGACTCAAATTCTCTTTGCAGCTCAGCCACAAAATTTCTATGTAACCCTGAGAGGAAGCCCCTTACTTCACTTTGAGCTTTGGCTCTCTGTTGGCAAGCAGGGTAGCTTGCTGCCTCACAAGGTAGTACAGGGATGAATTCCAGCAGTGTCTGGAGGGCTCTTGGATATAATGGTGAGGAAAGCCAACACAGAGAGAGGAACTATGAGATGATTAAGGAACTTATATCGGGATGAAGCAGTTTCTAAAACAGCTTCCTCTTTCACTTATTCTTACTGCTTTTGAAGCGATATGGTTATTCTTGTTAGAACTAAAAAATGTCAAGTGTAACTTATGTTCAAAATCAAGAGTATCACTCATATTACTCAGACACACTTAGATAAAATTTGCTTTTGAATTGCTAATTCAAGTTTAATTTGTTGAAAATACAAATGTCTAGACACAATCTGTAAAAGAAACAAACAAAGTGAGGGTAGGGGGAAAGGAAATCCCACTGTGAAAACCACCTGCTTCTTATTATGCTAATGGAAATGAACTGTCTGAGTTATTACTTCACAGCATGCAATCTGAACATTAAATATATAGCTGTCTCTGCAGTTTCAAGCCACTGAAGATCTTAGCACTTTTCTTCCATAACAAAAGCAGATTCCATTTGCTCTGAGCTCTTGCTGTGAGTCCTAAGGATCTTCTGATGCTTTTTGGTTGGAAAAGGCACTTACTCGGTGTCCTTTGCTGAACATTTCCCCAGAATGCCCCTCCCTCAAGCTGTGGGCCGTAGTGTGGAAGAGCTTGCTCTAGCTCTTTTCCCAGAAACAGCTGCAGTTTATGACCAGAAACAGCTATGTGCAGAGTTCGAAAGTCTGCATTTTTTCCCCATCAAAATGCCTCTCCCCAAGAAAGTTGGGAGGGGAGAGAAAAAGAAAAAACCTGTTTGCTGTTAACATTGAATTAGTACTGAATTATTTTACTTCCATTTCCAGCAACTCTTTCTAGGTGATACAACAACATATTTTTGCAGTATTGGCACTTACAGGTGCTTTGGAAGGAGGAGATATATCCAGCCAATGACTTGACTCCTCTGAGCTGAGCTCCCGCAGCGCCAAGGAGCACTCTCCAATTGTTTTTTTCCTGGGAGTCTGTGTCTGGATTTTAAATACCAATCTGACAGCCTGCAGGCTTTGCAGTTTAATAGCAAATACAAAAGTTTCCATAAATTCAATGTCCTAGAAAGAAAAACAGAGGGGTAACATCACCATTGTAAGAGAGTCACACTGAGCCCAAAACCTAGAAACCACGGCTTCCTGGTCCTATAGCCACTGCTCCCAGCTACCATTTTAGGTTGCCATGAAAAAGTGTGCTTTTACAGGGGTAAGCCCCCCCAGGCTCACCACCTCACTGTCACACCCTGGCAGGGACAAAGTTTTGGATTATTTTTCACTACCACAACAAGTTGAGGCCATCTCTTCTGGAGCTTTACAACAGCATACACACATTGTCATAGCAAATTCTCCTGTGGCCTTTTGCTTCAGTCTCTCCTGCTAATTTTATTTTCTTTCACCTTTGACTCACATTATGGGAGGTTTATGTTGCTTTACCTTCCACCCCCTTAATATTCCTTTACTGCCACTATCAGGAGTCTTGTCCCATGCGACCAATTCTTACTACTTTCTGTAGAGGAAGTATGAACTTTGTCTCCTGCCCTAGTGAGAGGCAGTATATCATCTACCTTCCCTGGGGTGAAGGTGCGCCTACAGGTATATCTAGTCTTCCTCCAGTCCCCCACCACTGAGTTGCCAAGGCCAGCAGCTCATGGTTCAGTCCCCTATGAGCATATCTGTCCTGCAGACTTGGGAGAGGAGGGCAACAGTACAATGCAAGAGAGGATATAGGGGGAGGAAGTAGAACAAGGCTTTTAATAGGATTTTTAGAAGTTGGGGGTGGGGGGCTAGGAAGTAACCCAAACCTAGGCAACTACCACAGCAAATATGGCATAGGAGTGGATGCTTGGTCCATTTTAAAAAAATCCATTTACATTTCACTTTTATTTTGCGGGGGAAAAAAGATTTCTTGGCGTTTTCCCTGCCTGTACTTACATTGCACCCTTCCTTGGCAGAAGATTTGAAATGCACTGGTTTGGGCAGTGTGAGAATTCCCTTGACATAGATACGAGGATTTTCCCCACAGCTAGAAGGCCAGCTCAGGTCTTTGCACTGCAACATTGAAAACACAGTCAGTTTAGACAATGTAAGACTCTGGCCTTCAGACAACTTAGAAACAGTTTTCTACACTGTTCTAGAATTATGCATAATTCCTGTAATATTGAATATAAATCAGAGCCAGTGTAATGATTGTGTCACTTCAGACCATTTAATAATTAATTTTCACAACCAGAACGTAAAAAGTTATTTGGTAGATTTTAATGATTTCACTATGTGGCAATTTGACACAGATAAATCATGAAATCCCTTATGTAGTATTTATCACTTGATGTAGTTATGAGGTTTCTGACTACTCGAAGTTCCATTGCCTAAAAATTATTTACAGTTCCTGGAAGTGTATAAAGCAGCCAGCATAACAGTATCACATTAGCTAACAAAAAAAGCCACAAGAAGCTATATGTCCTCAAAGTGCTAGTATGGTTCTGCACTGACGGAACCATGAGATTTAAGGTCAGTTAAATGCTGCCTCCAAAGTTGCTCCAATTTTCTGCCTCCAAATTTCCACAGGAAAATTTCCACAGCAGGACCAGCCTATGAGCAGCTCAGCTTTCTTATCTATGCTGAACAGTCCCTCTGCAGCAGAACAGAGATTTCAACAGGAAAACAAAAATAAAGGAGAGGAAGATCATTTGAATGAAGCCCAGTATTACATTTGACTGAACTTGGTTATATTAATACTTAGAAGTAATTTTCTTTTTCTCCTAAAAGTATTCCTTACAGTAACAGAGAGCCAAATTTAGTGAGAATTAACACTAGATATAGTAAAATAGCCACTTGAGTAAGTAATAATCAAGTTATTTATATTTCCTTACATGTAAAACTGTGATCCAAATCTGTTCTGCAGAAGAAACATAACACAACTTCACATTCAGTCTTCCAAAGTCTTGTTCATCACCTGATAATGTAATAGTATCTATGGAAGAAAGCCAATTAGTGTTTTTAGAAGTAATGCAGTATGTTAAAAGTTCATTCCAAGAATAAGGGAACTCTAGTAGGTAGACTGCCTATCTTTGAAAACTTCTCTCAAAGTAAATTTGAAATATCTTAACACCTACATTTTAAGGACAAAATGTCCATGAAGTTCTGTAGCCTGACCTTCTGCATAGCTAAAAGCCTTCATGTTTACCTCAGTTATCTCTATTGAATTTAGTAACTTGTGGTGTACTCGAACAACATTTAGAAAGAAAAAAAAAAAGCATGTGCCTGAGACACCTAGAATAATCTATCGCTTCCCTTAGATTAATCACTTTCACTGTTAAGTTTATAAATTGGCCTGCTTTTTATCTTTCCGATTTTGATTCCAGCCTAGTAAACATTTTACTATTATGCTTTTATCCAAGTCAGAAGAACCATTTAATATCCAGCGTTTCTCTGTCGTGACTGAAACTAGGTCATTGCCACCCAGTCTTCTTTTTGAGGAGACTGCGTGAAATTCTGACATCCAGCAGGGTGACTTTCATGGGAACTTGATTCATTTTTGAGGGTTTATTTTTCAGTATCTCCACTTATTCAGCATTGTTTCATAAATAAGGATCTTAGGCTTGCATGCAATATTCTTGCCTAATTCTCAGTGTAATAAGGGTACTGGATTCCAGGCACTTCCCACAGAAAAATACTGATACATGAAAAAGGACTAGAGTTGTGACAAAGGTGCTGCATCCTATCCTAACAGAATATCTGTAATTTCTTAGTTCACTGGGGTAGTAAATCCAGGGATTAATTTTTTGAAAGCATGAGAACTCTTCAGAGGCTCATTTGCTCTATCTCCTGACAACAGGAAGATGCAAGTCCAAAACTCTTAATTTCAAATTGCAAAGTAATCTCCAAACTAACTTGCTAATCAGATTAATCTCAAAAAAAAAAAAAAAAATCAACAGTAGAGACAGCTTAATATTTTAAGTGCAAAGGGAAATATTTCATTACAGGGTGAACAAACAAAACATTACCTAGACTCCTGTTACTGCCTTGCGAATCCTTCCTGGAAGACGTACTGCTAGGTACACTGGAAAATGAATCATATCTCTGGGGGGGGGGGGAAAAAAAAAGTCACTTCGTTCAGAGCAACAGATGCAAAAGGCCAGAGAGATTCTGAAGACACGATGAAAACAAAACACCATGCAATTTCAAATAATTGCATCATTCCCTACTAATCTCTTGATCCAGCAGCATGGAATTACTGCTTTGAGGCAAAGAGCTAATACAGGACACATATAGCCAGCACAGTTATTTTTGCTCCCTGATATATATGCAACTTCATCTCTATGTAAAAGATAAATATTTGAAAATAAATACAGTGGGTTTTGCATCAATGGAAACTTCTAGTGTTCCACTTTTCAATTGATGGGAGAAATCACAAGATGACGAACCACAACCTCTTGTCTGTCTTGTCCTGCCTAACAGCTTACTCAGGCTTCTCAACAGCCCCGTTGGGCCAGAACAGCAGTAGGTAGAGAAGACATCAGGAAAGAGCCTCTTGAAGGTGTTCAAGATGTTGAACTTTTCCCTCTAGTCCTTCCAGTGGACAGTACAATCGCCCTTCAGTGTTTGCTTTGACAACACAATGCAACAGGAACAGATACACCAAGTAAGCTGAGTTTTCAGTATAACCTAAGTTCCAAGGGGAACTCACCTTCATGAATCGATGAGGCGGGTTTCTGAGATCAAACATTGAACGACTTACATCAAATGATCCAGGCAAAGCACTAGGTCTTAAATCACTAACTAAAAAGACAAATAGAATAATACAAATCATGTAAGCATCATTGCTAGGAAAAGAAAAAAAAAATAATCTTTTTTTAAATTTAAGTAGACCTATGGTAGATTGAAATCTAGCTAAATAACATCTAAGAAAGGATGTCAGCACCTTTCCCCACCTCCCTTTCCCAAAACACTCTCGTGAAACAACAAAATGGAGAGAACAAGACATTAAAATACCTTAATCAATTCCATCATTGAAATAGTTCCAACTTAACTTGGTCACATTGGTAGCACTGGTAGAATGGGGAGCCTGCCTCAAAGTTATTTCCTCAAGAGAAATGTTTGGGTTTTTTTTAGTAGATGCTTTAGCAAAACAGAAAAGCCTTGCCTTTAAATCTAGTCAGCCAGAACTGGGGCTTAGCCTGGTCTCCTTTTTTAGATTTTTTCCACAGTAAGGATCCCAGTGGCAATAACATGCTGCCTGCTAAACTTGGCCTCATCTCCCTGATCACAGTGTCAAATACTCTGCACCCTTACTAGATCTCAGACAAAGCAAGTCTTAACTCTAAGATGACGCGTACTTGTTATAGCACAAAAGCAAGATCTTTGTTTTCTAGAAGGGTATTTTCCTCAGCCGTTGGAGGTGGTTAAGTAGATCCTATCAGTTTTCTTTTGACCTCGAAGGAATACAGAGCTAAAGCACATTGTCTATGCATATTATGCAGCAACACTAGAAAATGAGAGCTGAATTAATGCCACTGTTTCAGGAATCTTTGCTGACTCCAGTAACGTTCAAGAGGTTTTTAAAGCCTCCCAACTTCAAAACTGACCCATACTGAAATGAATGAAAGCAGTATGGTTTAACTTCTAGGACTATCTGATGGCAATGAATTGCTTTTTATTGCAATGCTGTGTTACAGTATTTCAGAAGACTTGCATTACAATTCACTGATCATAGTTTAACAGAATTACATCACTTGTTACTGAAAATTTATTTCCCTTTTTTGCTATCAAAAGAAATAACCGATTATGCTTATCGTGAAATGTGACAATAAAGAATAATTTTTTCTTTTCCCAAGGAAGAAAAAGAGAACAAAAGATGAAGAAAGTTTTGACAATCCATGGGAGGGAAAGGAAAGTAACATCATTTAGATAAAATTTAATGAAGGTCTGTATGTCTGGCATGAGTTCCAAATTCTCTCTTGTGCATGACGCAAAAGCGCCGAGTTGTTCACTGATTCTGGCGTAGAAATAGCATTACAATATCATAGGAGGCCTAGAAACCTTGTTTGATATAATGGGAGCAAATAGGAGAGACCAGCCCATTACTTTATTTGAAACTGATAATGGTTATTCAAATTAATTCCATATTCAGTACTCATAACTTTCACAAACTACTGGAAACATCCACTTGAGCCTACAGGTTATAAATCATTGAAATGCTTTAAAGACAGTATGATCTCCTGTTTCTAGTAAAGCTGGTTAAAGTTTCCAAAGACCGGGGGGGTGCGCAAGAGATGTTGCCTTTTTAAAGAACGTAAGTTTTTAATGGGAAAAAATGTCAATTTTTACACTGAGAAAGCTATCTGTAAAATATAAAAAAGCAGAAAAAATTTAAACATAAACAAACATTGCTTACCAATAATAACTAGAATTTGGGAAAAATATTAATAAATTTATTTTTCAGTTTCTTTGCTTATTTTTTTTTAAAGATGAAAAGGAGGGACTTCACATGAAAATTCTAGAATTTCATTTCATGCCTTCCAAATAAACACATTCTGTAGTTCTAAGCCCACACCATGAAAAGTATCATAGCACTTGCTGCAACAAAATAGGCTTAGAGTTTTGCTTAAATAGTCTATAGATGCACATGAAGAGAATCATTTAACTTTTGAAACAGCTGTCAAAAAGTCTGGAGGCAGAAGGCATTTTAGAACTGTACTCTAGACATACTTAACTGACCTTTCTTGTGTTTAAGCTTACTAAGACAAAACTAATGAAGTGTTTACTTAGCTTGAAGATAAATGGAAAAAGAGATGATGAACTGAAGGGAAGATGTTCAAGACAGTTTTATAAAATCCATTTGGCTCCCACCACAGGTGCTTACAAAGCCTAGCAAAACCATATGTGTTAAAGGATACTAAAATTCTACGTGTGTTTTGTTCTCTTAAAAAAAATACATGGAGTAGTCTTTTCATGTAGTCTCTATGGTGATCCAGAATTATTTTTAAAACAGGACACAGACTGAGACATTTCCCCCAGCTGTAAAATAAGCATGCTATACAATTCTAAATAAAACGTCTTTAAAAATGCATGCTGTTGCCAGCTTCCGACTCGATAGAGAGGTGTGTACATTTCTTCGAGCATATGAATTTCCTGAATGCAACTGCCTTCGCAATCACTTACTGCAAACAACACTTAGTCACTACTTTACTCTAAACAGCATTCATTATAGGATACATATACCAATGAACAGCACAGAGGAAAATTTTTACCTAGGTAGCCAAACACTTTCTATCTAAACTTTTACTACCTCACAGCCCCCGCCCCATTCTTAAACACACTTACACAATGAGAAGTGGGGACACATCTGCACCTTCAAAAGCAAACTACAAAAAAGCTGGCATATAGCATCACTTCCCATTTTGCACCTGTTCTTATCATCTGCTCCTGAATGTTTTGTGGTGCCTGTTCCTCTCTCCATATATGTACTCCTCAGGCATTCCTCCACTCAGCATGCTGCCCAACTTCCTTCTTCTGTCTCCCTCAAACACTCCTATTACTGGTAGCTGGAATCTCCAGTACTGCATCCTGTTTGGATCAGAGGCAGCTAACACTAGCTCGCTTTGCCAATTTGTCTACCTTTGTGTGACACGTGCAAGCCTTTTTACGCCCCCAAAAGACAGAAAGTAACAGTGTGGCTGGAAATCAAGCAGAGCTGGCTCCACAAATCAATTCACCAACAAAGAAGTGTCTGTAGCTTACAGACCAGTTTGAGAACTGCTATAATCAAACACGTCTTCCGTAGACTAGTGGCTTTTTTTTCTTCCCTATAAACCTTGGGAAAGGAAGGAAGCAGAAAAGTAAGCGTGCAGTCCATCTCACCTGATCCATATAATTTCCTGTTATCTGATTTTGCTTGGAAGCGCCTCATCAGATCTGGCGAAACCCGATGCTCCAAATAGAATGGGTTGTACACGTCATAGCGGGGCCATCGGTACATGCTGTGCAGTTCTGCTTTCCGGTCACCAAATGAGGCTCTGGCAGATTCTGCGGTGCACAAGTAAACATTAAATGCAAGAGTTCCAGACATAACACATGCTGCCTGGCTTCATAAGGCAGGCAGAGTGCCTTCAGGGCAAAGGATGAAATATTTCAATATTATCTACTTCAGGAAAAGGGAAAAAAAAAAAGAAAAAAGTAAAGAAAACACGCATACACATTATGTCAGATTTCCACGATGTGCTAGCAAACATTAGAATAAGTTGTCCATAAAAAGCCATGCATACTCTGTCTTGGAGTTCCACAATAATGCTCAACTAGTTAAAATACAGAAGGCTCCAAAGACAGACAGCAAGACAGAAATTAACAGGAAAAGTAGGGCCATGTGTACAGAAAACCTCTGACTTATTTGGCTATCCCCAGGACGTTCCCACTCGGCTAATGGACCCCCAGACCTTCAGGAGGGTCTTGTATGGGGAGATAATGGAAGTCTGTCAGTGGTAAAGTCACTGGTCCAAAATGACTTGAATTGTTGGCTGAGGCACAAGTAGACAAATCCAAGAGTGCTTGAATCCCAGCCCTTTACTCAGCCCATTACAGCACAGCTGCTCTATTTTTCTTTCCTTTATTTATAATCATTTCAGAAAAAGCACACAGGTCTTGGTCAGCAGAACAGTAAGGAACACTGCTGTAGTTTTGTCTGTCTGGAGCAAAAATCAGCCATATATAACAGTACAGCAGAGAATGGGGATGGGGTGACCTGGACTCTGCCAAGATCTGACATTTGCTTCCTTCACTTCACCTCCCTGAACTTCAACCTATCTGTTAAAAAGTTCTTTACCCTGTTATAAAGTGCCTTCAATTCTGCAAGTGTGTTGCACCGTAAGAGGCAAACTTATTGCTGTAAAATCCTTTCCTCCAGGTGTTAGTAGAGTAAGTAAAAAAGAATAACTAAAACAGTGAGATGGAACATGAGAGATTATAAAGCAAGAATTCAAGTATAACAGGCTTGAGCATGACGTAAATTAGGATGAACGCTAGAAGTGAGGCCATAAAGAATTGATACACAGCAGATGACAGAAAAGCCAGTGTTCCAGACCAGGAGCACACTCCTTCCTGCTAGCTTACTTCTGTGAGAGCATGAGACACGCTGCAGTGAGTACTGAAGAGAAAGGCTGCCAGAACTTAATTGCTTTCAGAAGGGATACCAAGAGCTAACACTGAGCACATCCTGTTTCACTAAAGGAAAATGGTCAGACACGCACAGAAAATGGAGTGGATCCGAGAGCAGAACTTGGACTTCTATATATATTTAACAACAGTCTGAGAAGCAAATACTCTAAATACATTTTTTTAATATGCTGGTGCTTTGGCTAATGTGAAGAAGGAATGACAGCACACTTCACTGTATTTAGTCAATCTTCCTAAAAAGTAAACTTTGCATTTTTAAACACAACTTTAATGAGGCTTAAAAAGCTGTACTTTAAAAAATAAGTATTTATATTTGGAAAGAGAAATGGAAGTCTCCTACTTGACATAAGAGCCACTTTTCAAGTATTTGTTCAAGAATTTAAAATATTTGCTTAAGAGAGACAATTATGAAGAGTCAGGACATCCAGCCAGAAGATCTACTGGCTTTATAGCCTAAGGGCCACTCTGTTCACCAGGTCCTTCAGAAATGATCATGAACCAGAATTCCCAATGAAGATAAGTCACTGGTTTATAAGTTACTGACTGGTAAGATTGTGTAGAACAGCACGAACAAAGAAAACATTTATCTAAAGGTTGTTAGACACATCTTCCTTCTCCCTGGAGAACATTCCTGCCTTAGAGTCCTTGATGGACTGCTCTGTACAGTATCTTGAAGATGAAGTAGGACAAAGGAAGGCAGAGCCTGAACCCAGACCCAGTGAGAAAGAGGATTACCAGGAGCACGTCCCGCATTGCTGTACCTTGTCCATGTATGGACCTACAAGAACTAGCTGCTGAAGTAGCAGGGCAGCAGGGAGGCTGAAGGAGATCAGGCTCAGAGATGAGGAGGGCCTCATATTCTGCCTCCAACTATTAGGTTGCCTGTCCGTGTCTGGTGAGGCGGACATCACAAATAAAGCCCACTAAAAAGACTGGGCAGAGAATGGCCAGTCTATACCGAAAAGCTCCGCTAGGCTGATTAGCTTGGCTCTGGTGCAAGTGTTACCAGCAGGGGTGGGTGAGGGTGAGGAGAAAGTTTGGTAATAGCATGCAGGAGGAGAAAAGCAACAGCAAGGACCTGGGAAAAAGAGAGAGAACAGTGGGAGTAAAACCACACAAACACAAAAAGGTTAAGTAGTACTGCATTAGTTATTATGCAACATGTGGTTGACTTCTTTCAGTTATTAAGGTTTCCACCCTCAGAAAAGAAATACAGTCACATGGGACTAAAAGCATATTATCCACTTATCACGTCCTTGAGGCAAAGCAACTCTAGAGAAAACAACCGCTCAGGTATGCCGCTGTGCCAAAATCTTCCCTTACCTAATTCTAGGCATCTCCTGGTACAACCAAGAGCCTAGCAATAGCATGTGCCCTGTAACTCATGTTACTGGGCCAGGCTCCTATACTTTTAAAATGCCACTGTGCCTAAATTGCACGTACATCATTTTGGCAGTCTAAGCATGGGACTAGCTGGCAGAGGTTGAAGCACAAGATTGTCGTGAAGCAAAGAATCATAGTATCATGTGTAACCTTACACCGCTGAGATCTGTGACCCCTGACCTCCCAAAGAGCAGCAAAAAGAGCAGGAAATAGTAAGGGGAAAAAAATTCCGCCGTGTAGTAGCACATGCTATCTATTGGCAAAATTTGAAAAGGAAGATGTGTTAGTATGTTAAAACATATCAGTACATTAAACATGAAAGCCAGACCACCCTCCTTCTTTACTTGAGTGATCTAGATGCTGGAGATGTGTTAGGTCTTTCCTTGCCTGCAATAAATTCTTTACTAAAGCTTCCGTTTCCTTTAAGTGTCTGCCATTACTTTGAGTATGAGCACTGGTGTGCAATCCTCCCTTTCAGTTTTATTCATAAAACATCACAGAGATTCACAGTGGGATGACATCCTTCACAAAACCTCTCTGGATGTCCAGAAAGAAAAGAAAGAAACAAGACCAAGCTTCTAGAAAAGTTCTGCAAACATATGTTTTCAGTAGGAATACTTGACAATTTTCAAGGAGCAGCAGAAGCTAAACAACTATTTCAGCAATGCTGTTTATGTTTTACCTTGAATCCCTCCAGCATGGGAGATACTAGGAAGGTTCTTTGGCTGTACATAAGCCAATTTGAATGGAGGGACCACAAATGGTACCTCCTGACCATCCAGGGGCAGTTTAGAAAGCAGATAATCCTCTGAACAGCCAACTTGACGCTTCACTGACACAGAAGACAATGGAGGCTTCTCTACAATAGTTGGCTTGCTTGCGGCTCCTGCTTCAGATTCCTGCACCATGGAAACTGCTAAAAATAAAGAACAAGAAAAACAGACAGTCCACATGTGCATTAAGTTTTGAACAATGCTATGAACAGATCTCTCTTATTTAATAGGATCTGTGCTTGATACATTACTTAACGGCTGCTAGTATTCAGATTTACCAGCATTCAGGACTAGCACCTGGAAAAAGATATACATCCTCATGACCGATCCAAACTCTTTGTTGCCCAAGCTTCTATATTTATAGCTACCTTGCTCTTAAGTGAATTTATACAAGAGGTACACTTGTATCATAGAAGAGTTCTTCAGACAACTAAGACATCAAAGAAAATCTTAACAGCAAATCCCCAGGGAGTTTAAAAAAAAAGCATTCACTCAGAGTTTGAAAGATACAAGACCTTTACACAACCTTGGGTAAAAAAGTTGGCTTTTTTGGACAGCATTCCACGCTACAAGGAGCAGACTTCAGACAAGTGTAATTTTTCAGTTCCAATTCCAATTCATAACACTAACAAGCATGTGTTCACTCTCCAAGTGAAGGTATGGAAAGAATTTTGGATGTTGTAAAAGAATTCAAGTTTATCGGGGTGTCACAGTCATTTTATTAATGGGAAATCTCATCATTAATGAAGCCAGAACAGCAAAACCCTTAGTCAATGTCATTATGTCAGAACTCACGATCATTTTTTTCTTTTTCCATGCAGAAACACAATTTACAGCAGTTTTTTATACATTCTGTTGCCATTGTTTTCAGTGTTGCAATTTAGAGGAGACCACAATCAAAGATCCAGTGTAGCTATCAAACCTGAAAAACACAATAAAACAAACAGTAGTAGATGGGAATAATTGAAATCAATATGCAATATTATCAGTTATTTAATACATGATTACTTATTGGACACAGTCCCAGGGTCAATGAGAAAGTTACTTTAGTCATAAAAGGATCAGAGCCATCAGATTTCTCTCACTGAAACAAATTATTTTTTTTTATATAAAAGCACAAGGAAAGAGATAATCATTTTAATGTACGGCATCCAAGTACTTTCAGTGACCCATTCAGACAGGTCCCTGTCTTTCAGGAACACTAAAATTCTCCTCATATTTGTGTGTGCCACTGGGCTTTGGAGTTTAGTCAGCTTTACAGCTGTTTTGATGTGGTCTTGTAAAGTCATTTGCAAGATGTGTTTTTTATTCCGTTTTCCTTGGTCATGTTTCTCCTATCCTCTTTCACTCTTGTACTATTTTCACATACATCCATTTTTTGCATTTACATTTTTCGCTCAACATACTCCATACTTTACATTTGAAAACACTCTTTATGAATGATGCCAAAATTGCCTTCTTTGAGTAACTACTACTTTCTCGTAATTGTATACACATGAAACTGAAGACCTGTTTTATTATATAATTGTCTGCTATGCATACAGAAATAGAGCGTGCTGACTTCCAGCAAAATAAGAGGCATGTAATCTCCTAAAGAATGAGAACAAGTCTATAACAGCTGGTTAACATTAAAAGAACTTTATGACAATACTAACTGGCCTCATTTAAATGTCTTTATTCATATCCTTCTGTTCTCTTTTCAGAGGGACACAGACAGCTGCATTGCCTCCTGCCCAAAATTTTAGCTGTCTAAGTCTAGTCCTTTTACATGCACCTAAAGTACACAAAGTTCTTTGTAGAACATACCCAAGACCTGATTCCAACTCCACGGAGGTTAGAAGACACCAAACAGAACATGAACATAAGCTGAAGGGATGGGTAAGACAACAAGTAAGAGAAAGGGGGAAAGCACAGAGAGATGACAATTACACAAAAATGTATGCATTTGTTCAGCTACCTTAATAGCAAGAAATTGCTGAAAGCACCCGTGCTCCAGCACAGAAGCCATTCCCACCTGCAGCGTGAACAGTCCTGCCATTTTCTTTGTATGTGTATTCAAAGACAGCTAGGGAACCACACAAATACTGTGGAAATAACACTAATATCCCCCAAACTTTTCTTGCTTTAAAAGCCCCTCAAAATTCCAATCAATGCCAAGTAGAGATATTAAGCTACAGACTTTTCATCTAGCTGAGAAAACATGTGCTTTCTTGTCTTAACATGATTTATTTCCATGGGTAGGGTGCAACTGAAAGTTATCAATAGATGCATCAATTTGCAAATACCGACCAAATGCAGCATATACTTACTGACCTGCTCTTCTGCACTCTACAGTACCTCAGCACTCCTAGTTATGTTTTAACTTAGGGGTTTTGCAAAGTCACTGAGAGCACGTGGCTTCATAAGGAAGCCTTGAATTAACTTGTTATCTTTAAAATACTAGTGTGAAATATAATGAAGGTTTATTATTACAACTACATAACTGTTCCAGAATTATTCTTAATCATGAGTTATCACAAAGCACTGATTAGAAGGAAATCCTTAAAATATATTCCTATTAGACCTAAACCTAAATAAACCTTTATTCTACTGCAACAAGGACCTAAGGGAATATTTGGTTTAATACAATTTTTCTGAATAATTTTTGCTGGTGTTACCACTATGTCACATTAATTATTTCCTCTAGTTTTATACTGCTCTTTGTGCTCAACAGACCAAAATGAACAAAACGCAAGTGACTCAAATATAAAAACCTCAGAAGTAGCCTGCATACTGGTGGTACACCTTATTCTGGAAAACAGAACACTACTGAAGAGATTACAGCATAGCCTCTAACCAGACAGGGCAGGGGTGCAATATCCCGCTTTAAAAGGGACACCATTACTCTGCACAGAATCCATCGCTCCGTACTTGCCCTGATCTCAAAATTGCCCATGAATATAAGTACAGTATGAGATCTGCATCAAAAAATCTTCAGATGCGACACCACCGACTCCAGAACCTGCATCTTTACAGAAGCACAAAAAGAGGCATGGGAATTTCTCATTAAATTCTCCACGTTTCTAAGGATCAAATTTTCACTGCTGCTCCTCCCTCAGAGGCGCACTCACGATAGCTAAGCCTGCTAGAATCCAAAGTTTACTTTAAGGTTCCCTTGCAGTGATTTTCCTTCCCAGCTGTTTTCAGTACACAGCTGGAGTTAATATCTTTTACTCTTGTTCACCATGTTTAAACTGGGCTGGAACAGCTGCTTCATTTGCTCTAACCTTTGCAACAATGGTATCTAAGCCTCAGTGGCAGTTTGCGCACGCAAAACAATCTTTTATCTCAAAACATCCAAACTGAATTTATTCGCTACTGCTGGTGAAGAAACTAAAATGTTAGTAACCGCCCTGCTTTCCAGCTACATAAAGTGGAAAAATTAGTTTTTCTGCATCAGGGAAAATTCAGTTCACGGTAGTAATTTCTTTCCCCAGAACTGTCTAGCTGGAACCATTAATGTGAGCAAATAAACAAATGTAAACCGTCTGTCACAAGCAGTTGCCTTTCCATCCCAGGGTTGAGTGCCTTACCTAGAAAGAAAGGGCTACATACGAGTATTGAGGATAGAACAGTAATAATGCAATTCTACGTCTTTTGTATGTCCATCATTTAAAAAAGACCATGTTTTTCACAGTAAGACCAAGTAACCTGTGATAGTCTTTGACCATTACCTTTTTTCCCCATTTATCAATATGCAAACATTCATACTTTTTTTTTCCTATCTCAAGACAAATATTAAGCAATTCATCACTGCCTATTGTACAGGAGAGATTACTGTTTTGTAGGCAAGGTAATATCAGTAGCCAACGCTAAAGTGTATAGACACATGGCTTAGAGTTTCCAATACAGTTTCAGCTTAAATACAGTATTTTGAAAAGAAAGTTCCAAGAGTAAGAGACTAGAACACTGTTTACACTTTTTTTAAGCTTAAAAATGTAATGGTTTCAGTGACAAAATTTGCGCTTGTGTTGCTGATTTATACCACAGCCACATTACAAAAAAGTGACAGCATTTGCTGAGGGGCAGATCATCTAGATACAGCGCTCCCTCGTTCTGCTGAGAGCACTTTGCTCTGTTCATGAAATCACAACACGGATGGTCTCAATTACTTTTTAAAGCTTTATTCACTTAATTAAGCTACAGAGATAAATATATTTGGTTTTTTGCTTTAGTTCAGAAGAGCAATCCTGGTGGTAAATTAGATGGCTTGGCTCCCAGTTCATTTATTTTCTTGTATCTCTATTTCCCAAGTTGCCTACAGTTAGTTACACAACTTTCACCGTATGCAAAAGTTTTGTCTTAACCATGTGGGACAGAGAGAAATTTAGCAGGTTCTGTTGTATATTTTATTAAGTGAAAATGAACAAAAATCTTACAGAAGATTAAACAAATATTTCATGATCTTCACAGAAGTTGACATTTCTATCAAAGGTTAAACTTCTCCCACATGCCAGAACCTTTTGCTGGTGTCAGCTACCCAAAAATCCTCAGTATATCATTTAACAGTTGTTTAAAAGGTTGTACTAACATGCATTTGTCTGGGAATAAATTTACCAAATAAACCTGAACCATAGAGACATGTTAGGTGCGCCATCAAATTCCAAAGAAGTACTGACTTCCCAGTAGTGCCATCCATCTTAACAAGTAGTTAGAACTCCTTGACCCTATCTCTAAGTTTTGAGGTCAGTTTTTGTTAGGCAATGTGCATACATCAAAGACATCTTCCATTTTGGAGATATTAGACTGAGAAAAGGACAGGAGGAAAAGAAGAATGATCCTTGATTTTCAGACAAAAAATACTGAGATAGAGAAATCAAATCATTTGCAGTAGAAGAGCAAACTGAACCCAGATCTTGTCACTCTGTTCTCCCTCCTTCTTGGTGTTTTCCACCAATTTCAGTAAGCTTTTTCATTTCTCTCTTCCCAGTATCAAGCCAAAATAAGATAATCAAGTGTAACTCAGCAATAGTCCTTCCACACTAAGGCAGAAGGAGAGCCAAGGTTATTAGAACATCCTGGAAACAACAAAGCCTAAAAACCAACCACACACATACGCAGAGCCTAGAGAATTACAGTCACTACTATTTTAATGGGTTTAGATGGAGAACATAAATTATCTTAATGATTTCCAGATTTCTCTGATAGAAATTTTGAATGAGCTAAAATCAGATAAACACAGTATCGAAGACTTCAGTTCCAGATGCCTCCAGAATGATTACAAGACAGAGATGTTTGGAGAAGAAAGTAAATATTTTCAACAACTCATTAAATGAAAAGAATATGATAGAAAACGGATGATCACAATATTAAATATTAAAAGCTGAAAGCAGTCTGAAAAGAAATGTCAGGTCTTTGCTGCCTTATGATGAAAGGGTGTGTTTTGCAACAAGTTTGTAGGCTGCCGATGTATTTTTACTGCATTTAGTCACAGCAGTGCTCCACGGGAGTCGATCAGGTAACACATTTAAAACTACGCAATAGACACAAAGGTGAAATAGCTGATCTCAAACTGGGAAAGCTGGCTAAACCAGAGGTTTCAAACGTTACGAGATTTATTGCCAGCCATAAATGTATAAAACACATTCTCAGATTTGTGTTCCAGAAACACATCACGGCAACATTTCTAGTAGCAGTAAGTCCTCACAAAGCGGGAGGTGTAAAAGAAAATATCTGGCAACAGGGATGATCGGTTGTTATTAAGCATTTGGGACAGATCATAGAATCATAGAATCATTTAGGCTGGAAAAGACCCTTAAGATTGTCGAGTCCAACCATAAACCTAACACTGCCAGGTCCACCACTAAACCATACCCCTAAGCA